ATCCTACTGTTTATAAATATAAAAGTTATTTTTTATCACATTATTCAAATAATGTAAGTTAATTGATTATGAAAATGCAAGCTTACAAATATATAATGTCAAGAAACACATGCGGCGATGTTTTTTCCATTTGTAATATGACATAATATCCCCTAAATGTTTTCTTTTATATTTCCATTTTACGTAATCAGAACATTATTATAAAAAGATTTCTCAAATAACATGTATGGTAGCCTATTTCCCGATATCAGTGGCTTTCCGCTCAGTAACTTGACACAACAGCGGGAAATACCTCCGTTTTCGAAGCTTCGAATGAATAACATGCAAGGCGTTTCCTTTGATGGTTGGTATCGTTTGAAAGCTCTGAATATCAACAACTGTACCTTTGCCAAGAGAATTATCACGGTTGTTAGAAGCAATTTAAATGGATACAGATGGTTTCTAATGACGCTTTTTTTTGCCACAGTCTACTATAAAGATGGTGATTGGTCAAAATCATGCACATGACCTCAGGCAGCCAATCATATTACAGCAATGGATATCATATTATATCCATATTACAGCAATGGATATCGTCGTTGTCGTAAACGAAAACTTTGAGATTTAGCCAAAGTTTTGGGTTAAACTTGTTATTCTGAACATGTTACGTAAAAATCACCTCCTAAACGTACATTGTGGAACTTAATTGACGTATCATGCTAGGTTATGACCTGTGACAAAAATGCTTCATGCATATATTTTAGCATTAAACATCGTGTCTGAGTGTGAAGTTCGAGGTGACGAAAGCGGAGATGTCACTTGAAATACACTGCACAATCGCACAAAAAAGATGGAAATAGTAACTTATAACGTACGTTTGACAACTTTTATGAATACTGTTGTTGATTTTATTCTTTATTTTTCTTCGATTTGTTTAATTATTTCCTCGAAACATCGTTACTTTGCTCTTTGACAACTTTGATTTGGACCCGCTCATATTATGAGAGGCATTTGCATCAGATAGTTATATCTAAAGTTGTCAGTTTTACACGTTCTTTCCAACCTAGCAGTATAGCGAGGGACCACTAACATGTTTTGAATAAAGTGACATGATGTACGTAGATGTTATCTTGGAGTTCTGCAATGTTGGATTCACTAAGTCTGGTGGTGAGAGTTGAAAATTGATGATCTCATTTGCAGTATTTGATGAATTATCATTGAAGAAAACTAGTAGTCTGCCGGACTAGTGCAAGTTTGTTTCCATTCGCCCGACTAAATTTTTACTCGCCTCGGGCTTGCGGGCGAGCGTAAAGATCGTACCCTGAGGCTACCCCATCGCCCCCAATGTTCATATGTACAAAATAGAAATGTTACATATGTTACATTTAGGATTATGCTTTCCCAGTAAAGTACAGGTAGGCATGGCGGTGTTGAGTCTCGCACAGCTCCCAGTGCTGAAGCTATAAATATATATTGCCTTTTAGGAAGTGGTCAGATGTTTTATTTAGGATTACACTTTCTCAGTCCCATTGGCAATGGGAGCCGTGACTATTTACACTTGTCCAACTTTCATATGTTTGGAAGCTACAGAGGCTGAGTGGGTTAAATCACTGACTTAGTGGGCTGATGAATGCCTGACTCTGAGATTGAAAGACTTTCTGAAAGGCATTCTGTTTCCATTAGAAATGTTTTCCGAAAATTACTAAAATCTTCCATAGTTTAGTCTTACTTATTCATCTTGTTTGTTAATAGTTGTATAATGTTGAAATTAATTAAATCTAATTCACATTCATATGAACGTAATTTAATGCTTGCAAAATGTTTTCTGGCTTCTTAGATTATTAATTTATATTTTACTATCCCTTCAGCTGCCCTTGCTTGTCATAAGAGGCAGCAACTTATTATTGAACGCTTAGGCTCTTTTACTTGGTGGGGCGGTGGGGTAGCCTAGTGGTTAAAGCGTTGGCTGATCACGGCGAAGACCCAGGTTCGAATCCCCACATGGGTACAATGTGTGAAGCCCATTTCTGGTGTCCCCTGGCGTGATGTTGCTGGAATATTGCTAAAAGCAGCGTAAAACCAAACTCAGTCAGTCAGTCAATCTTTTACTTGGTTGCTGTGTGTCATCGTATCCCAGTTGCATAGATTGGTGTCAAATACTGGATAGTATTGTTCAAACTTGACAATTTACAGAACGCCATCATATAGCTGGAATGTTGCTGAGTTTTGTGATAAAGCAAAAACAAAACATTTTTCATCCTGAAGAATGGTCAAAACAGAAACTGATAAAGTTATCAGCTAATATTTTCAGGTTTCGGAGTCTTAACTTGATGATTGTAACAAAATACACCAATGAAGATATGGGTTATAATTGGTCTATAGCAACTCATGCTTGTCGTAAGAGGCAACTCACGGGATCGGGTGGTCAGCTCACTGACTTGGTTGTCACGTCATCGTACCAAAATTGGATTGGAGTGATCACTGGATTGTCCGGTCCAGACTGGATTATTTACAGACCGTCGCCATATAGCTGGAATATTGCAGAGTGCGGCGTTAAACAACATACACAGAGACTTACAAAATACTAATTACGATTTGGGACAGATATCTGAATTAACTTACTGAGAGATTCATTATGTGCTTCCTGATGTAATGGGTACTTTGCACACAGTCAAGCATTAAGCAGATGAAATTCTTTCACAGGTCACCTCACTCACTCACTCACTCACTCACTCACACTCACTCACTCACCCATGTGAGCTAATCTAAAACATGACATGTACACTGAGAACATACACGATGATTCGCAACTTTTTCTGATAAACATTCCAACTTTCACATCACATCAAAAACTTTGTAAGTTTTTAATCTTCTTTGCATATCTAATGTCTGCAGTCCCTTGTGTAGTTAATCCAGGTGACAAGATTATCACTGATAATAGACATGTATTGCAAGACAAAAACACCTCAAACTTTGCAGACTTCTGTAGAGGATCTTGGGAATACATTCCTGCTGCTTCTGATGAATGTTTTATATCACAGCATATTTAATTAGATTAAACTGAAGATGCCCCTGATAATATGAATTATTCATCAATTCAGGCCTTCTATTAAAGTGTGCGTGCTGTGGAAACCTATTATCTGATACAGTTTTACAAATATACACAAGAAAGGTGGTAATTTACCTCTGTTTAAACAAAGAGTTGTTTGGACAATAGCATATTATGGAAATTACTATATGTACTTTTTGAAACAACACTAGACTGGTGTTGTAGTGGTCTGAAAAACCAACAACTTTGCTTTATGATTATTGTGGGTCGATACAAAAGAATGGGGGATGGGGATGGGGTTGTGTGGTCTTGTGCATAGAGCTCAGTCACAAATCAGTTGAAGTTAAGCAATGTTGGTCACAGACAGTCCTTGGATGGGTGACTGTGTTTTGCATCTTGACTCCTGAGGCTTTCCAGGACTTCAGTCCTGCCCCACAGCAAAGCACACGTGACACATGTGGTCTCGCCCTAGACAAGTGTGTTAGTTCATTAACTGCCTCTGTTCACCCAGCAGTGAATGGGTACCCAGTGGGATAGCACCTGTCAGGCAGCTTGGGTTATCCAGGGTAGTAATGTGTTAGCGCCTTTAGCATGCACACATGCGTGAATACATGCACTTTATAAGTGAGTATGGGTGGCTGAGGTCAAACAATGTTTAACTTATGGTTTAGAGATATTTTGTGGAGAAATATTTTCCGGTCGATTTGAAGATCAGATTCTAAACATTTAATTGGCATAATGTGTTGTTTAAACTCTGTTAATCTGTATTTACATGTATATGATGATTGAAATGATATTCTACAGAGAACAGTATTGAAACCACAGCATAAAGCGAATTCTGTGTTATATCTTCACTCTTTTAACCTGCCCAATGTGATTGTGTTTTCTTTCTACACAATTTGATATAAATATTTTTCACAAACCAACCCATTGAGATTCTAGTTTGGATGGTTCCCTAGCAGCCTGACCTGATCGTAACAAGTGGTGTTTGTTTGTTTATTTGTATGTTTGTTCATTGTTTAACACTGTACACAATATTCCAGCGATATAACAGCAGTTGTAGATACATACTTACATGACTATGCTGTATGGGCTTGTTTGTTTGTTTGTTTGCTTGTTTGTTTGTTATTTAATGCAGCACTCAGCCATTTCCAGCTAAATGATGGCAATCTGTTTATAATCAAACCTGCACCAGACAATCCAGTGATTGACATCATGAGCATTGATCTATGCAGTTGGGGAACAATGAGATGCGTAAACATGGTGATGTCAGCAAGCCTGACCACCCGATCCCGTTAATTGCCACTTACGACAAGCATGGTTTACTGGAAACCAGTTCAAACACAGTCCTTCATGGGTTGGTCATGAGAGGGATCCAGTGGTCAAATGCCACGATTTTATTGATAGTGTGTCAACTGAACAGTGTCAATTGTTTCTCATAAAGTCAATCACTAGACTGTCTGATCGAGAATTTGGTCCTCAACTAATATCCAGGGATGAGAATTTTCTGCAGATTTGATGCGCTGGGGTCATTCTTGTGAATTGTCTAATCCCGAGACCTCCAAAACCCGGCTCATTTTTCCTTTTTCACTCATACACATTATCATCCCTGAATATCACTGCTGATGCTATTTAATCTGATTAAATTGAAACCCACGAACATACAGGTTGTATTGGTTTGTAATTAGTCCTTTACGTAAGACACTCGCTTCGCCTTAATTGGGTGGTCAGACTTGTCATCGTATCCCAATTAGGTATATCGATGCTCATGCTGTTGATCACTGGGCTCTCTCGTCCAGACTCAATTATTTACATGATGCAATCATATCGCTGAAATATTTGTGAGGTACTGAACAACAAATAAACAAGCTAATAAACTTCACAAAGGAACGGAGCTAATTACTCAAGTCTCTGAATAATTTCCGAATATTTCAACATGAATTGTTACTATGTCAACTGTTTGTATTTGCAGGTATGCCATTGTTTACAAGAAAGGGTACCAGGATTTTGAAGATGTCCAAAGTGCCGTTACGACCAAGGTGAAAGGTGTGGCCTTCACGAACCTCACAGACAACCCAGGTATTGGGACGCGGGTGTGGGATGTTGCAGATTACATAGTGCCCCCTCAGGTACGTATTTAAACCTTAGAAGAAGAATTTATTCAATATGTCGGCCGCAGGCCTTACTACAGTCTGATCAGTGTTTCTGCTGGCATTTTTACAGCTGGACATTGTGACCAGCCAGTGTTTCAAATGCCGGTCATTTGTTAATTTTACCGATCAAGTGATCACGTTTTTCATTTTGCGCGAGATATGCACCCTAACAACCAGTTAGAATGTAGAGGGTATCGCAATGCTGCAATGTTGCTATTTTTAGTCAGGGGTTTTCAAAAACTGCTATGTTTTATTTGAGGTGAGGTGAGGTGAAATTGGGTTTAACGTCGTGCTTGAGAATATTACGCTCATATGACGACGTGCATGCGTGTGTATGTGTATGTGTATGTGCGGCTGCTTGTACTAGCCCAGACTGAAGCTGGTTTTATAGTGCTAGCCCACTGAGATACCATGAAGCATGAATACCCCACTCAGACACATTATACTGACTCCGAGTCGACCAGTCCTTGTACCCATTAATGCCGAGCGCCAGGCAGGGACCAACAAGTACCATATTTTAACGTCTTTTGGTATGATGCGGTCGGGGATCAAACCCACGACCTTCCGCTCTCCGGGCGGACACTCTAACCACTACACCACGGAGGTGGTCTGTTTTATTTGACAACATCTCAATGTCATTGTGAAAATGTAATCTTTTTCGAGGAGGAATAAAATTGACAGAGGTAATTACAAAATTGGTTTTAAAATTTGCTGGACATGATGACCGACAGTATATATACCAGATAACGGAAACACTGAGGATTGTATAAAATATACACATACATGGTACTTCATTACACAACATATATAACACATATATTCACAACTTGTACGTATAGAATATGTACAGATAAACTTACAATAATGAGCAGCATAAAATGGAAGCTTCTTTGTTAACATTTGCTTACACAGGCCTACCAAAGAAAACTTTCCCACTGTGCAGAAAAACGCAGAAAAGCCCACATTAATCGTGGAAATAGCAACATAAACACATTACCTCGCTACTGAAACACTAAAAACTGCAACCGAAAACTATGAAACTGCAACATTTTCATAGTTTTCATAGTTATCAGCGAACTTTGACCTCTACTGCGCATGCGCATTACGATCCGGGCTTCTTTCCAATTTCCGAGCAACCGTGAATCGCCTCGCGTAAAAAAAGTATTAAATATGTCGAAATAATTGCTGTCAATTGTTTCATACAGAATGGAAAGTAAACTAAACAAGTGTGCACACAAGTATCATGATGATATATGCCAAATTACACAACAGAAATACTTAAAAGGAATGTAACTTTTGTCCAAGCTGGAAAATGTCAACATGCGGTCGAGAATTCCTCTTCCATGTGCGCATGCACAAAATCGAAGTTGCGGGCTCCTCGTTTTATGATGCAGTGTTAGCGATTTAAAGTTGCCGTTTTCACTGTTTCAGTAGCGAGGTATGATGTTTATGTTGCTATTTCCACGATTAATGTGGGCTTTTCTGCGATTTTTCTGCACAGTGGGAAAGTTTTCTTTGGTAGGCCTGTTACAGAGTTATAGATTTAGAATTGGCATTTTGAAGATTTATAAGACCATTGATATTTATGAAATAATGATAAATATACATAAAGACAGCCATTAAACATTTCCATACAAATCAAATATAATGAAGATGAATCTTTAAGTGGCATCTCTGTGTTTTTCTGATCGCTGTTAAATATGTGTGTTATATTAAGAGCAGACTGATGATAAAATGTGATTTTATGGGTAATTCAGACCTTTAGACTTACAAACTTATGAAATGTTTATGAGGAAATGTTTTTATAAAAATTCTGTTAGGAAAGATGAGATTGTGTTTCATTTTTTGTACACAGTTGGTTTATAGAAAAAATAGATGCAATCAATCTAAAAGGTTGAGATAACTATACTAAATACTTATGTTTGCTCTTGTATTGACAAATTTCTACCTGTAAATTGAGACTTATTACACCTGAATTCATTTTAATTTAATTGCCTATTCAAGTAAAAGAAATGACGTTTGCGATTCTTAAATGTCAAGGAAATTGGAAGAAAATACTTTACACTTAACAGATACATTTTTTCCCAATTTAAATGTTAAAATTATATTTAGAAATATTGCTGGGAAATGAAACATGAGCAGCAGAGAATAATGTTTCAACAAATTCTGATTATTATTAATATTTGAAGTGAAGTGAGATGGAGTTAAATGTCGTACTTAAGAATATTTCACTCATATGATGACGTGCAATTGCGTGTGTATGTGTGGCTGCTTGTACTAGCCCAGACTTAAGCTGGTTTTATAGTGCTAGCTCACTGAGATACCATGCGCAGTGAAGCATGAATACCCCACTCAGACACATTATACTGACTCGGAGCCGACCAGTCCTTGTTATCCCCACAGCTAGCGTTAAGCGTATAAGGCGGGGATATAGTATAAGGCTCCGTCCGTCCGCCTGTCCATACGTACGAATTGGAATATCTTAAGAACCGTTAACTAGATTCTTTCATATTTGGTACCTAGGTTCATCACAGTATAAGAAAGGTCCCAGTCAGGTTTGGTGACCTTGACTTTCATTTCAAGGTCACAAGGAGACTTTAACGTTTTACTCTTGTCAGTGAGATACCTCAAGAACCGTTCACTAGATTTCTTCATATTCAACACCAAGGTTTTTCTAGGGAAGGCTCAGGGCCCAGTCGATTTTGGTGACCTTCATGTAATTTTTATGGTCATGGCAACACTTTGAAGATTTCAGCATATTAACCTGCATGTTATGCTTGTCAGCGAGATACCTCAGGAACCATTCCCTGGATTTTCTTCATATTTGGCGCCAAGCTTCATCCAGGGAAGGCACAGGGCCAAGTCGATTTTGGTGACCTTCACTTAATGTTCAAGGTCACAGCGACACTTTGAAGATTTCTGTATATTAACCTGCATGTTAAGATGGTCAGCGAGATATCTCAAGAACCATTCTCTGGACTTTCTTCATATTTGACACCAAGCTTCATCTAGGAAAAGTGCAAGGCCCAGTCGATTTTGGTGACCTTCACTTAATTTTCAAGGTCACAGCGACACTTTGAAGATTTCTGTATATTAACCTGCATGTTAAGATGGTCAGCGAGATATCTCAAGAACCATTCTCTGGACTTTTTTATATTTGACACCAAGCTTCATCTAGGGAAAGTGCAAGGCCCAGTCTATTTTGGTGACCTTCACATAATTTTCAAGGTCACTGCGACACTTTGAAGATTTCACCATGTTAAATTGCATGTTAACGAAGATAGTCAGCAAGATATCGCAAAAAACATTCACTGGATTATATTTTTATATTTGACACCAAGCTTCATCTAGGGAAAGTGCAGAGGCCCAGTCGATTTTGGTGACCTTCACTTAATTTTCAAGGTCACTGCGACACTTTGAAGTTTTCAGAATGGTAACCTGAATTCACTGGATTTTCTTCATAGACTTTCAAGACTTCCCTTGAATGTTTTTCAATAAGCAATTTCTTTAGTACCATTTTTGCATATTTCATACACTATGACATTCATGTCAAGGTCAAAGTCAGTCTTGATAATATTTGTGTGTTTGAACAACTAAAGAGCAAGATATCAAAAGAGGTTGACTGGTCATGTTTTTGTTGACATTTAACTTCATCTTAAACTTTCATTACTTTTTAAGTTTAACTTGATAATTTGCAGTGGTGGATTATGTCACCTTAGTGACAATGCTTGTTTACCCATTAATGCCAAGCACCATGCAGGGAATAACAAGTACCATATTTTAACGTCTTTTGGTATGACACGGCCAAGGAACGAACCCACAGCCTCTGTTCTCTCTGTGGACGCTCTAACCACTACACCACAGAGGCGGTCAGCATTAGAAGTAGTATTATATCAAAGAGTTTTAAGTTTTTATAAAAAAGTTATGTGCCTGTGGGAATTAAACAGATATAGTGAGCTATGAGTGAGTTTAGTGTTATGCCGTTTTTAGCAATATTCCAGCAATATCACGGTGGGGGACACCAGAAATAGGATTCACACATTATACCCATGTGGGGAATCGAACCCGGGTCTTTGGCGTGACGAGCGAACACTATAACTACCGAGCTACCACAGCAACCCTTAACAGAAATGGGGCGGTGGGGTAGCCTAGTGGTTAAAGCGTTCGCTCGTCACGCTGAAGGACCAGGTTCGATTCCCCACATGGGTACAACTTGTGAAGCCCATTTCTGGTGTCCCCCGCCGTGATATTGCTGGAATATTGCTAAACACGGCGTAAAACCATACTCAGCAGTCAGCTTAACAGAAATAGAGATGTTGTTCTTGTTTAAAATAGTTCTGGTATTCATACGCCAATATATAATCCTTCTAGAGGAAAACAAGTTTCTGTTCAGTTTGTCCCTGAATAACAAGAGTTGGTCACGAAAGAAACTATTCAAGTCTAAATTTCAAAGGATTCATGACAGAAAGCAAGAATGTTTAAGGTTCTGTCTCATGCACTTTATTCTTGACCTTTACAATAATTGTTCATGTTGTCTTCTTCCTTCCAGGAAAATAATGCCTTCTTTGTGATGACCAACATGGTGATTACGCCAAACCAGACATTCTCGGAATGTGAAGAGGTGAGTTGTGATTTGAGTTGTCCTGTAGTGAGTGAGTGAGTTTAGTTTAGTTTTACGCCACTTTTAGCAATATTCCAGCAATATCATGGCAGGGGACACCATAAATGGGCTTCACACATTGTACCCAAGGGAATCAAACCCAAGTCTTCGGTGTGATGAACGGACACTTTTACCACAACGCTACCCTAAGTTGTCCTGTAAGGCTTGAGAAATTATTGTTTTCAGTAGGATATTGCAATCTGATCCCAAGATCCTAATCCACAAAGAATCGTAGCGAGCTATTGTAACTATATACTTCGTCACAGGCTTAAGCTTTGTAGATCAGCATGCTTCAGTATGGTAATGCTCTTCCTGAAGATCTAAGGACAATTGTATAGGTTGCAAGGTTTGAGCCCTGGGCAAACCTGACCAGACAATGCAATTAAAGGATATGGGTTCTTCAACAAATCAGAACCTTCAAAAATGAGTCAGCTTAATGTTTTCAAAATCTTCTACAGAAAATTTGATCTTAAAGGAAAATGGCCTCAGGAGACAAATATATTGATAGTTCGCCCTTTTTGTGCAGTTGCCATGGAGATCAGTAAATGACTAAATGTGTATGATATATATAGTGTGGCTTAATTTTTTACACATGGAACTTGCTGATTATATTCATTGTTGAGATGCACACAAATTAAATGTTCAATTGTTCTTTCTGAAAAGTATCTGGAACAATCTATCTCCTAAACTCACGCTAGTTTGAGGACACCAGTGCGAAGAATGTAGGGGATCAGTATTTTCCACTTCTTAAAGATGTTTGATATTTAGAAAGCTTATTTAGAAGTTGATTAGGGGATAATCCTATTGTGTTTACATTTTGGAAATGATTATAGTTGGTTGAACACTGCTAAATGTCATTTAAAACCGACCGTGTTAGCTAAGTGAAACATTTAGCAGCGTTCAACCAACTATAATCACTTCCAAAATGTAAACACAATAGGATTATCTCCATTCTACCATGACATATGCACCATGAATAAAACGCGTTTTAACGCGTTTTCTAAATGGTTTCGTGCATAATCAGGGTGAAACAGGAAAAAGAAACAATTTACATGGTGTCAAATGTTTTAATTATTTCCACAACGAAGTTTTCTTCAAATACATTGCAAGTTGCAACATCTGTACTGGCATTCTACTTCTTAAGTTATAGACAACTTTAATGGAATGAGTTATGTAATAAGGAACACCCCTCTAACTTCAAAAATAGATTTGTCTGGTTTGACCTTCGTTCTGACATCATTGGCGGCGTGCCATTTCGAAATGTGGCTGTCCTCGTCAGTGCTTTGCTTAGTGAAACAGGACAACAACCTGATTGTTGTCAATTTTAGACCAGACGAAGAAGCAGTGATTGTGTGATTCTACTTACATACCAGGCTGGGTCAATATTTTCCTCCATATCCGATCCAAACACATCAAAGAAATCGCTGAGGTCAAACGTAACAGTTTCAGTCGACATGTTTGTTTACCTTTGTAAGGGTTAATGAGTGAAAATATTCCTACGTGCAGTGAACCGGCTCTCAGAAGTGGTTATTGAAAAATTTTCACTTCTAATTATTTAGTAACAGCCAATCAAAAACGAACATACTTAAATGTCATGGTAGAATCATCCTTAAACACTTGTCATTCCAATTGCTTACATCTTCTAGAATGCCTCTCAAACAGTTCATTTAGAAAGCTGTATGCATGTTATACTTAGTTTAGTTGATAGGTAAAGCCATCTTGGTAAACAGCTGCAGGTGGTTATGTTTGGGTGTGTGTTCATGTCTGTCACCTGTTGAATGAGTTCAGCTGTAGATTCATGGCTTTCAAGACTCTTGACTCATGATTTACAGTGCATTTTTTGTTTGTTTATTTAACACTGCCCTCAGCATTATTCCAGCTATATGTTGGTGGTTTGTAATAATCAAGTCTGAACTAGATGATGCAATCATTGACTTCATGAGGATCGATCTTCATAATTGAGATATAATAACGCTGAAGGGGTCGTTGTCGGCACGGGTACTACAGATATGTACCCCAGGTATACAGAAACGTACCTTGGCCATAATGAGTATACAGAAATGTACCCTAGGACGATTCCATTCCCATTGTGTCGTATTCTTGACTGGAACTGTCATACTGTTGTATATTAGATACATTTGATTGCGTTATGTAAGTAATGAGAATACACAGTAACGGATATTTCGCGATGCACTTGAATACCACTCGGAATCAGTTGAACGGGAACAACTACATACAGTTTCGGTTTTTTGATTGCGGAATATGGACTCGTCCGCCTTTTAAGGTACTGGGTAGTTTCTGTATTTTGACTTTGTGTTTAGGGTACATATCTGTATACAGAAACGTACCTGGGGTACGTATCTGTAGTACCTGTGCCGACAACGACCCTTTCAGCTATAATAACATGTGTCAACCAAGTCAGACTCTGACCACCAGATCCTGTTTGTCGCCTCTCATGGGTTGATGAAGATCATTTCTAACCCAGATCTTCAAAGCAGCAATTGAGAGTTCCAGACCCTTTAATGCATCAGTATCAGCTATTGTCTCCTCGATGATTGACAACTGGCCTGCTGACCATTGGCTGACCATTAGCCAGTGAAGGAGATGACTCAAGTACTCAGAAGGCTTGCCGGGGCTAATTAATTATATTATCTGATGGCAAGCATCACCAGTGTCACAAAGATAGCAAGTGGTGATCAAAGCAGTAGTACATTTCATGATGGACATAATACATTCTGAATACATTTTGGGAAACTTGAGCATTTTGTTAGAACATTTTAGAATATTGGAGAACAGTGTTGAAACATTTAAGAATATTAACATTCTAGAATAATGGTGTATTTTGGAATACTGGTGTACTATAGGAAAACATTTTGTAATACTGGTGTACTATAGGAAAACATTTTGGAATACTGGTGTACTATAGGAAAACATTTTGGAATACTGGTGTACTATAGGAAAACATTTTGGAATACTGGTGTACTATAGGAAATCATGTTGGAATACTGGTGTACGATAGGAAAACATTTTGTGATGCTGGTGTACTATAGGAAAACATTTTGGAATACTGGTGTACTATAGGAAAACATTTTGGAATACTGGTGTACTATGAAAACATTTAGGAAAACATTTTGGAATACTGGTGCACTATAGGAAAACATTTTGGAATACTGGTGCACTATAGGAAAACATTTTAATACTGGTGTACTACAGGAAAACATGTTAGAATACTGGTGCACTATAGGAAAACATTTTGGAATACTGGTGTACTATAGGAAATCATTTTGGAATACTGGTGTACTATAGGAAATCATTGTAAATGCTGATTTACTATTTTAGAACATTTTAGATACTGATTATCCTTGTTTTAGGATCCTGGTGTAGGTGATGGCTTGTGTACAACAGATGAAGATTGCCCACCCAATACACCTGTAATAGCTGGAAATGGTAAGAATTCAATTACCTTAAAGGTCACATGCAACGTAAAACACAACTTTGCAGATTCTGATACCTTTCGGTATGGACATACCGAAACAAATAGTCAAAAATGCAAATTCAACTTATAAAGTTGAAAAAAAAAGCGATGAAAAAAACGCGAAATCGGAGTTCAAACGTTTCACTAATTTTCCCCAGACTTTTCTGGGGAAAACGGGTTTCAACAGCTGGGCTGCGCTCATAGCACGTGCCAAGTAAATAGGTTCGCGCAGCTTGGAAGCGGGTTGTCGGGTGAATACTCGGTGAAGGCTTTGGTGTGAGCTATTTTTCTAATGTTTTGTTGATATCTCACAGGCGCGAACTTTTTATATGTTATGACAGTAAATTAATTGTTTACATAATTTCATTTGTCTATTTCACCACACGTTCTTCTTACCGAGACACTTTCTCAGTTCGATACTTAAAAGCAATGTCATTATTTAGCGTTGACACAATTTCTAACTGTGATTATAGATATGTCGTTGTCACAGACAAAACTCAATGTCTTGTTTTATTGACACCTGTGTGTCTGCCTGCCTGTCTGCTGATGACAATAGTCAATACACAACTGCAATCACTGACCACATGCAATTCGAACTTAACACCAATCAGGCTATACACCATAAACAAAACGTATTGATTTATGGCCTGAGTTCGGTCTGTGTCACATTATGTAATTACACAGACAGGCAGGTGTGATACTTGAACACATGACATGTTATGATGTCTGTTGATTGCAAAATGTTATACACAAAAAATGAGCATGTATTTACAAAACCCAACATCTCTATATATACACACACAATGAGCCGTGAAGGTGGCATCTGCTAATGAACCAGCCGTTACACTTGAGTGCACACCCACCCGCTCTGACTGGGTTCGGTATCCCGGCTGCTTCGTTTCGAGGGAGGTAAACCCAAGTACAAAATATTGCACTTTTGATTTGCGATTATACGCTTATAATTTTGTTTATTTGTTTTTTCATAATCAGCAATGCATATTATATGTCATGAAGAAGTGATAATTGTGTTTTAATTATGTTTGATTTTTTGGTTGCATATGACCTTTAATGCAATCAAGTGGATTGGGTAGTCAGAATCTGTTTACCTGTGAAGGTCGGGTTAGAATATTGGCCTTCCGTAACCCATGTTTGTCGTAAGAGGCGACTAACGGAATCGGGTAGTCAGGCTCGCTGACTTGGTTGACACATGTCATCAGTTCTCAGTTGCACAGATCGATGCACATGTTGTTAATCACTGGATTGTCTGGTCCAGACTTATTTACAGACCGCCGCTATCTAGCTGGAATATTGCTGAGTGCGGCGTAAAACTAAACTCACTCACTCACTCAGAATCTGTTACTTAGTTGAAAGAGTAAGACATTGTACCCCAACAACATGGGGTGTAACTCATTATATCAATCACTGGTTTGTTTGGCTTTTGCACAGGTAGAATAAAATTAATGTTTAAACTAATCTGTACTCTATATCTAGGTATGATAATACTGTGATATTTCCCTCAATTTTTGACAGACAATAACTGCCTATATACCTTCTGGATTGAGTGGTTGCAAGACTAAGAAAGATGTAAAAAGATGGTACATGATGTTACCCTGCCTGGTGAACTGAGGTGATGAAACATGGACTGATTGTGTTTTTTGTTCTTTATAAATAATTTATATCCCCACCTGACTATATTTTCCTATTTTTCAATCTTCTTTTACAGGATATAGAACTGGAATTTGTATAAACTCAACTCGGAATCAGACCTTGAGAGTGTGTGAAATATATGCGTGGTGCCCTGTGGAGATAGACCATGCGTGAGTAATCTCCCCTTCATTTTGTTTGAACAGTCGAAAGTTATTTTTAGTGTGGTATTGATGTTAACTAGTCATTGCACATAGCAGTTGCCATGTTTCCTGCCTGATGGAGTACACATAGAGAATACTACACGAGGTCTCATTACATACGAATTATACGAAACGAGTGTCCTTCCTATAGTATCTGACCGAGCGAAACCGGTTTCATAAAGAGATTGCGGAAGAGTTTTGTACTGTAGTACAATATTTGCATGATGTCACACTGTAATGACGTCACTGCCTTGGTAACCGACGTCACGATGCATGTCAGTTGTCATCGCCTCGTACAGCCTCCTACAGTAAACTACTCCGTAGCACCTCGTTTCTTGGTTTCCTGTTGCTTCATTCGGCTAACACCACTGGTGGAAACATTGTGTTTATGTTTTTGGGCGGATATAATGTCTCAGTTCGACTCACAATTAAACAGCGACACGGCAACATTTGCAATGTTTACATTCCCACAATGCATTTAAGTTGTAGAATGAATGAATGCACGTGTTTGTTATGAATGAAAAAATAGTTACGTCAGAATGTGACCTAACTGAGAGCTCATCGGTCATCCAATCAAATCGTTAGAATCTCAGGTCATGTCGTTACGACACAGGTCAACGCATTACGACACTCGTGTGACGAACGAAATTAGTATGCAACTACCCATACGTTGACCACGTGGGTAATAAAAGTTGATACTGACCTATGAAGATCTGGGTTAGACTTGGTCTTCAGTCACACATGCTGGTCGTAAGAGGCATCAACATTCATACTCATGTCAGTCAGATACATTAACAGATCTTTGATTTCAAGTGGGGGAGGGGGGCCTAGTGGTTAAAGAGTGCGCTTGTCACGATTCCTCACATGGGTACCATGTATAAAGCCCATTTCTGGGGTCTGCTGCTGGAATGTTGCTAAAAGCGGCATAAAACTAAACTCACTCACTCCAAAGGGAGCGGTGGGGTAGCCTTGTGGTAAAAGCGTTCGCTCATCACACCAAAGAATGGGGTTTAATTTCCCACATGGGTACAATGTGTGAAGCCCATTTCTGGTGTCCCCTGCCCTGATATTGCTGGAATATTGGTAAACGCGGCTTAAAACCATACACACTCACTCACTCACTCCTTAATATTAGTAGTGCAAACTGTGAAACAGTCCTATATCCTAATACAATGCCATATACAATATTAATTAGTGTAAAAACATGTTGATAGTAACAGTGTTGTAAACTCCCCAAAATTTCGGCCAGACAACTGATCTGGTAACTCTCAAAAGTTACCAGACCGGCTGGAAAGTTACCAGTCCAGAATTTTCAGGATTAACAGTGATTTTGAAGCCTATAAAAATCAGTAGGACAAATGTCCTGAGTGGGTGTCTGGCGATAGGCCATTGACCTAAAGCTCTTTTTGACATTTTTAAAATCCCAATGGCATCATATAACTAAATTGTTAATGACATTTAATGTTGCAACTTGGATTCTAGATATACAGCAAAATTAAAAGATCTAATCCCACTGTTGATAAATATGAAATTTATTTTTCTAACATTTTCAAATAATACAACTACAACTTAAATAAATTGAGTTTTAATGAAAATGCAAGCATTTATAATGTCCAGAAATATCACAAAAAGAAGCAAAACTATGACGATTTTTTCCATTTGTGACTTGTCATAACATCCCTGTGCCTTTTTCTTTTATATATTCATTTTTACGTAATCAGAAAATTATTAAAAGCCACTGATATCGGAAATAGGCTGACCATACATATTATTTAAGAAATCTAGAGTCGGGGAAATAGGCCACCATACATATGTATGGTCGCCTATTTCCAATATCAGTGGCTTTTAATTATTTACTGATTACGTAAAATGACGGCTCGCTAACATGACACACAACAACGGAAAATACCTCCGTTTTGGCTTCATTATGAATAACATGCAGGCGAATCGATTTGATGGCGGTATCGTTCGAAAGCTCTGAACATCAACAATATCACTATACCCTTGCTGAGAGTTGTAAGAAGCGATTTTATTGGATAAAGATTGGTTTCTAATGACGCTTTTCGCCACAGTCTGCTATAAGAGTCGTGACTGGTCAAAATCAGACACGCGTGACATGAGGCAGCCAATCATATTACGGCAATGGATACTGTCCTCGTAAAAACAAAAACTTTTATATTTAGACGGAAGTTTTGGGTAAAATAATGCTATTCGAACATATTAAGCACAAAATCGCTATGTATACGTAAATTATGGAACTTATTGACGTATCGTGCTAGGTTATGACCTGTGACAAAAATGCTTCATGCATATATATTTTCGCATTAAACATCGTGTCCAAGGGTGAAGATTGAGGCGGCGAAGTCGAGAGATGTCACTTGTCAGTGACTTGAATCGCATTGCATGATCGCACAAAAGATGGAAATAGTAGTTTTATATGTACGTTTGACAACTTTTATGAATGCTATTGTTGATTTTATTCATTAGTTTATTCAATTTATTTAATGATTTCCTTGAAACATTGTTTCATGCGTGTGGGGTCGGAAAGCCCGTTTCTGATTGTCCAATGCTTAAAATAGCAACCAATCGCTAATCCATTACATGCACATTTGGTAGCTTAGTGTGATAAAATGGATGTAAATACATACACGCCGCTGAAACATGATCAAGATTTCTCGTGGTTAGTTTTGATGAATTCAGTAAATGATAATGTTTGTAATTTATTAGGTCCAATATGTGAAAATAACATCGAAATTATCGATCGGCACAATAACACCTTTTATAAATGTTTTTAGTCATTATATACATTTCAAAATTACGCTGATTCAACAGCCAGACCATCGGGCGTGCAACTTTTTAAAACTGACCGTCCGGTCGCAAAACAGACCGTCCCGGACGGTCGGGCAGGCGGGAGTTTGCAACGCTGATAGTAACACACTCACACACTTGTTTCAAAAGAATAAACTTACAGAGAGTAAAATGGCATCCACTAATGTTTTGCATATTTTGAGGGAAGGCCTAAAAAGTAATTCATTGTGGCCAGAGTTTCCAAAACGTTCTGTTCTCTTTATGGCCCCACATGGGCAGAATGTGTGAAGCCCATTTCTGGTGTCCCCCCGCCTTGATATTGCTGGAATGTTGTAAAACCATACTCACTCGCTTGCTCTCTTTGTGGCAAATCCTTCTATTGCACCTCAAGCCATATGTTTCGAAACTATCTAGGACTATTATTTCAGGTGAGGTCATATTTTTATTAATACTGATAAAGAACTTTATACTATGTGCCCTTAACGGATGGCCATTAGTCTGGATCAGATTATTTCTGTCAAGGTTGTTAATGTCTTGAGCCTGTGTATCTGTCCTCTAGTGGTGTACTGATGCCTTTTGGTAGTTTTGGGTTTCTGAATAAAATATCTTTGCATTTTCATGCCAACAAGTTTGACTTAGACTGAAACTGGTGGTAGTGCTCCTTTCTGGAGCAGAACCTTTCAATACTCTCCTTCCACCTTTCTATATACACACCAAAACTTTTGACATAATCAAAACTAGTAGACATATTCATGAAGAGTATTTTGCCATTGCGGGGGATATTGATGACTTTGTCTTCTTGTTTTTAAATATTCTGTCCATAAGTATTTCGCAATTAAAGAGAATCCTGTAAAGATGAAGGTTAGAATTGGTGTTGAGCTACCCATGCTTGTCATAAGAGGCGACTAATGGGATCGGGTGGTCAGACTCGCTGGCTTGGTTGACACATGTCATCGGTTCCCAATTGGGTAGATAGATGCTCATGATGTTCATCACTGGATTGTCTGGTCCAGACTTGATTATTTACAGACCGTTGCCATATGGCTAGAATATTGCTGAGTGCGGTGTAAAACTAAACTCACTCACCCACACGGATCAATGCTGCTTCCTGGATTGTCTGGGTTTGTCGTGATTATTTACCGTCTACTCTCATACAACTGCAATACTGCCAAGTGTTGTGTTAAGCAACACAAAACACCATTAGAGATGATAGAGGCGCGCTTCAATCATTCAACCCTTGAAATGGTCCATTAAATGTCCAGATGGTATGAAACCAGAATCAATGAATGTGCAGTTTTTTATACATTTGATTCCTTTTGTGTGCATATTGTGCTGATAATTTGTTTGTGTTTCAGACCAGAGACTGCAGTTTTATTGGAATCGAGGGCCTTTACAGTTTTCATAAAAAATAATGTGGAGTTTCCAAAATTTAAAGTGAAAAGGTAAGTTTTATATGATTTAATTGCATTTCTTTAAAATCAATTTGTGTGTGGTAAGTCTCCCTCATTAGTGGAAATCATTGCAAGCTCCTCAAGAAGATCTTGACATTGCTCCTAGTAAGTTAATACGTCCCCAGTGGAAATCCTGACAGTCTTAAAGAAACCTTAAATGATATGTATGCAATATTTGACGTAAACTTAGTAGACACCAAAAGGATATGTATGCAATATTTGAAGTAAACTTAGTAGACACCTAAAAGAGATCTTGGCAAAGATTTGAAGTAAACTTAGTAGACACCTTAAGGAGATCTTGGCAAAGATTTGAAGTAAACTTAGTAGACACCTGAAGGAGATCTTGGCAAAGATTTGAAGCAAATTAAGTAGACACCTAAAGGATATGTTGGCAGTATTTGAAGCAAACTTAGTAGGCACCCGAAGTAGATCTTGGTGAGGCCTTGAAATATACTTGAAGTAGATGCCTAAAAGAAATCTTGGCAAAGTTTTGAAGTATACTTTGTAGACCCGAAAGGAAATCTTTAATAGTCTTGAAGTATACGTAGTAGACATTGGAAGAAATCTTGTAAAATCTTCATGTACATTTAGTAGATATATAAAGGCTATCTTGGAATAGTCTGGAACCAAATTTCCATGTCATCTAAAAATGTTCTTGTTGGAATAGTGATTCATATGAAGAGCCTGCCTGAAAATTATGAAATGTAGTAATAAAATTATCATTTGATAAATGAGTTGGACAAGTCGACCCCCAAGATGAAACATTAACAGATATTTTGGGTTATCATGACAGACTCTTGATGAAAGTTGGGACTGGAAATATGAAAGGAAATTTTTGATAACCCTTACTCATAAAACTGCTTGATCAAGATGACGAAACTTAACATGCTCGTGAAGTGATGACTCACCAATTTGTTTGAAGAAAATTTTCAAAATGGCTGACATAGCAGCCATGCTGAAAAAATACTTTTATGGCTGGCACTTAGCCATTTTGTTTGCAAAAAGTAATTCAAATATGGTATGTGTTTAGTAAGCTTTGGAAGTAAGCATAAATATTCCCTTTTCACAATGTCATATATTTATCCCCCGCAACTTCAATATAGAAATGTGTTCTGTGCGTCCGTGCATCCGTGTGTCCGTCCGTGCGTCCGTCACACTTTGTCTGAACCATATCTCCTAAACTATTGGTGATATCTTAACCAAACTTGGTACACATATCAAGCATGATCCCTAGATGTGCCTTTTGGGAGTTAGACCCAGATGGGAATTTTATTTTTTGCTGTTTCCATGGAAACATGACTTAGACTGTGGCTACGAGGATGTCATCTTGTCTGGAGCAGATTTCCAAAGCTATACATGCTAGCTTCATCAAACTTGGTACACATATCAAGCATGATCCCTAGATGTGCCTTTGGGGGTTTAGATCCAGATATGAATTGTATGTTTTGTGGTTTCCATGGAAACATTACTTAGGCTGTGACTATGAGGATGTCATCTTGTTGCATTTTCCATGGCAACAAGTTAGGCTGAAACTGAATTTGGTGGTTGTGCTCCTTTCTGGAGCAGATCTTAAAACCTTTTAATACTCTCCTTCCACTTTGCTGCATACACTCCAAAACATTGACACAATCATAATTAGAAGACATATTCGTAAAGAGTATTTTGCCGTTGAGGGGGATATTGATGACTTTGTCTTCTTGTTTGATCTTGTATTGACTATGTTCTTAAACACTTTCTCTATCTTGACTCATCTTACTGAAATTTCAGCTTGAGGACTGAACTTCAGCATGTATATTTCTTCTTATAATGACTTCCTATTTTGTTAAAATCAGGCCACAGAGACTGTTGTAATGTCATTTATCCAGAAAAAATATGAAAATCTGTTGTGATGGTTTGGATTAACACTGTGGTGAAATCATTCACTCGTCATGCTGAGGACCTAGGTTCAGTTACCTACATGTACATTGTGGTGAAAGCATTCACTCGTCATGCTGAGGACCTAGGTTCAGTTACCTACTTGTACATTGTGGTGAAAGCATTCACTCGTCATGCTGAGGACCTAGGTTCAGTTACCTACATGTACATTGTGGTTAAAGCATTCACTCGTCATGCTGAAGACCTAGGTTCAGTTACCTACTTGTACATTGTGGTTAAAGCATTCACTCGTCATGCTGAGGACCTAGGTTCAGTTACCTACATGTACATTGTGGTTAAAGCATTCACTCGTCATGCTGAGGACCTAGGTTCAGTTACCTATATGTACATTGTGGTTAAAGCATTCACTCATCGTGCTGAGGACCTAGGTTCAGTTACCTACTTGTACATTGTTGTGAAAGCATTCACTCGTCCTGCTGAGGACCTAGGTTCAGTTACCTACTTGTACATTGTGGTTAAAGCATTCACTCGTCATGCTGAGGACCTAGGTTCAGTTACCTACTTGTACATTGTGGTTAAAGCATTCACTCGTCATGCTGAGGACCTAGGTTCAGTTACCTATATGTACATTGTGGTTAAAGCATTCACTCGTCCTGCTGAGGACCAAGGTTCAGTTACCCACATGTACATTGTGGTTAAAGCATTCACTCGTCATGTTGAGGACCTAGGTTCAGTTACCTACATGTACATTGTGGTTAAAGCATTCACTCGTCATGCTGAGGGCCTAGGTTCAGTTACCTACTTGTACATTGTGGTTAAAGCATTCACTCGTCATGCTGAGGGCCTAGGTTCAGTTACCTACTTGTACATTTTGGTTAAAGCATTCACTCGTCATGCTGAGGACCTAGGTTCAGTTACCTACATGTACATTGTGGTTAAAGCATTCACTCATCATGTTGAGGGCCTAGGTTCAGTTACCTACTTGTACATTGTTGTGAAAGCATTCACTCGTCATGCTGAGGACCTAGGTTCAGTTACCTATATGTACATTGTGGTTAAAGCATTCACTCATCGTGCTGAGGACCTAGGTTCAGTTACCTACTTGTACATTGTGGTTAAAGCATTCACTCGTCATGCTGAGGACCTAGGTTCAGTTACCTATATGTACATTGTGGTTAAAGCATTCACTCGTCATGCTGAGGACCTAGGTTCAGTTACCTACTTGTACATTGTTGTGAAAGCATTCACTCGTCATGCTGAGGAGGTTCCTAGTACATTGTGGTTAAAGCACACTGTCACATTGTTGGTTAAAGCATTCATTCACTCGTCATGCTGAGGACCTAGGTTCAGTTACCTACTTGTACATTGTGGTTAAAGCATTCACTCGTGGTGAAAATTCATGCTGAGGACCTGGTTCAGTTACCTATATGTACATTGTGGTTAAAGCATTCACTCGTCATGCTGAGGACCTAGGTTCAGTTACCTACATGTACATTGTGGTTAAAGCATTCACTCGTCATGCTGAGGACCTAGGTTCAGTTACCTACATGTACATTGTGGTTAAAGCATTCACTCGTCATGCTGAGGACCTAGGTTCAGTTACCTACTTGTACATTGTGGTTAAAGCATTCACTCGTCATGCTGAGGACCTAGGTTCAGTTACCTACATGTACATTGTGGTTAAAGCATTCACTCGTCATGCTGAGGACCTAGGTTCAGTTACCTATATGTACATTGTGGTTAAAGCATTCACTCAGGTTCGTCATGCTGAGGACCTAGGTTCAGTTACCTACATGTACATTGTGGTTAAAGCATTCACTCGTCATGCTGAGGACCTAGGTTCAGTTACCTACTTGTACATTGTGGTTAAAGCATTCACTCGTCATCCTGGGGACCTAGGTTCAGTTACCTATGTACATTGTGGTTAAAGCATTCACTCGTCCTGCTGGGGACCTAGGTTCAGTTACCCACATGTACATTGTGGTTAAAGCATTCACTCGTCATGCTGAGGACCTAGGTTCAGTTACCTACTTGTACATTGTGGTTAAAGCATTCACTCGTCCTCCTGGGGACCTAGGTTCAGTTACCCACATGTACTATAGCATACATTGTGGTTAAAGCAGGTTCAGTTACCTATATGTACATTGTGGTTAAAGCATTCACTCGTCCTGCTGGGGACCTAGGTTCAGTTACCCACTTGTACATTTTGGTGAAAGCATTCACTCGTCATGCTGAGGACCTAGGTTCAGTTACCTACATGTACATTGTGTGAAGACCATCTCTGCCTCCTGCTGTACTAAAAGTCCAGAAATCCATACTCATTCAAATGTTTGTGGTTGTTCCTGTTGACATATAAACTGTTATGTACATTTGAGAAGCGACAGTGCAATGGCATGTGGTAGATATGATCAAACAAATCATGAAAACAGTCCCTGACAAATTACAAATGCTCAGACTACTCTCAACAAATACATTTTCACCTTGCAACATACAGCCGATGAAGGTGTTGCAGATGATGTATAATGAGACGAGGATGAATTATGTGTTTCATCTCTGGTGACGCAGACGCTTCGTTTATTGAATCACATGCACTCACATGGTAACATCTGATACATCATCAATCAAAATTATACAGAATGTTCTACATCTGTGACAGAGAATATATCTTTCTATGCTTATCCGATTATTCCCTTATGTATTCTAACAGATGTTGGTAAAGGTTTGGAGAGAACAAATAATTCCGTGTCAGATATTAGCATAAGATCAGTCCTGAAGTATCAATCATTTCTGCTTGTCTCATTAAGAGGAACATGAGTTTGTGTTTCTTGTAAAGGCCAGTTGGACGCTAGGATGGTAAGCTCAAGGAAGCATTGACTGAGGTGGTGTCAGGAAGTAATGCTTTGAAAGGTATTCTTGTGTGTAATCACGTGGTTTGGCAAAAAATGAAACATGGAATCAGCCTTTGTTCTTCCCATTGGTATTTGAAAAACTACTCAAGGCCAGACTCTTTAGGAAGGGAATGAAACTTTTACTTCCAGTATGAAGAGTCAGTGGGGTAGCCTAGTGGTTAAAGCTTTTGCTCGTCCCATCTTGAGTTGGTTCTTATCCATCAATGTCGTCACATTTCTTAAGTACATTTAACCCTATTGGCTGATTTTTCCGAAACAAATATTTTGTGAGCACTTTTGTGGCATTTGGGGACGATGAGGTAGCCCAGCAGTTAAAGTGTTCATTCATCACACCCGGGTTCGATTCCCCACATGGGTATAATGTGCGAAGCCCATTTCTGGTGTCCCCAGCCGTGATATTGCTGGAATATTGCTGAAAGCAGTATAAGACTAAGCTCACTCCCATTTGAAAAGACATCTTTTGTTCCTCTTGGAAATCTGTAAAAGATATGCTTCTGTATTTAATTTTGACCACTGATTGGATAGTTTCAGCAAAAAAGGTCAAAAGAATAGGACTGATCTGACAGAAGGACCTGACCTTGGATTTAAAGAGCATTTTTGAAATGAGAAAAGAAATGTTTGGTCTACAGCTAGCATTGCAGTCTTTTAAAGAGGCCCTCACATGGCAAACTAAAGTTTGACACCACATGTTGTTAGAATTTTAAAAGTTGTCAAACTTTTCACACGTCAAACACATGTTGTCAAACTTTCGTGTCATTTGAGCATGATGTCACGTCACATGACAATTTCTTTGACTGCGATTGGTTGGTTCTGAACAACAAGAGTTTGACAACACTTCACACATCAAACTCGAGTTTGACAACACCGAAAGGTTGATGGAAAAGTTGGTGAGAATAGAAACCGATCCTATTTCTCATTAACAGTTTGACAACTCTGAAATTGGTGTTGGCGGCGAGTTGTTGGAATGTTCACTTGAGTTTGACAACAACTTTAGTTTGCCGTGTGAAGGCCGCTTTACACTCATCAGTGTCTAGTTTGGCTTTTTTCGTAGCTCAGTGGTTACATGTTTTGGTTACCTAAAATATATCAATTGGGATTGGTGACCACCAGAAATCCGTTCCGGTCGTCCACGTAGTTTACTTTGTGTCACCACTGAACACAAGGGCAGAATGTCCAAGTTCCCTACACGGAGTGAGCTCAGTTTTACACAGCTCTGAGCAATATACCAGCAATATGGGGACACCAGAAATGGGCTTGACACATTGTACCCATGTGGGGAATTGATCCCAGGTCTTCGGCGTGACAAGCAAACGCTTTTACCATTAGGCTACCCCACAGCCCACACACGGTTAAACACTTATATGAATACTAAATAGTTTCTATGTATGACACAATTCAATATAATTATTTAAATTACTAATTATTTCAATTAGTTTGAATTGTACCTCAGGTCATTTTGTAAATCACTGGTCTGCCTGACCAATAATCATACCCAAAACTTTTCTGTAGTTGCCTATGATTTATTATCAAATTGCTGTCTGAAGCATTAAACTGCATCCTCATCGGTAATGATGCATCTAGAACCATTGTATTGCCACTAATGTTATTATTCCACTAAAGTTAATTAATTAAATAAACCTAACAATTAACATGAAGCTTTTGAAAGTAAATATTGAGTGTTTATTTGCGGTTTGGAATTTGATCTTTAACTAACATAAGTATTGATGCTACTTAAAATAATTAAATTAAAATAAATAAATATACAAGAGTTAACGAGTATCTGTAAAACTAATAGTTGACTTCATGTTTATTTTGCAGTTTGGAATTGGGTCCTCAACTAATATCACTGTTGATGCTACCTAAACTAATTATATTATAATCTGTGAAGACCCTGGTTATAATTGGTCTTCAGCAACCCACGATTGTCGTAAGAGACGACTTATTGGATCGAGTGGACACATGTCGTTGTATCCCAATTGGGTAGATTGATGCTGATGCTGTTGATCTCTGGATTGTCTGGTCCAGACTGGATTATTTACAGACTGCCGTCATATAGCTGGAATATTGTTGAGTGTGGTGTTAAACAAGAAAACAATCAGGCAAACAAAGAAATTGAAATAAAACCAAAAATGGTAGAATTAACAAGTAGCCATGCAAACCAAATACTAATCAAGTTTTTAATTCATATCATTTGCATTTTATCAGTTGCTTTGTATGTATTTTTCTTCTTAACCAGACGCAATTTGCCTGACAATGCATCGGATACATATCTGCAGCTGTGTAGAAACAATCCCTCCGACTCTGTGGACAGATTCTGTCCCATATTTGTCTTGGAGACTATTGTCAACAGCACTGGACAAGACTATCCACTCATTGCCAAACAGGTATTGGTCCCCACCAGTTAGATCTGGTTGTATCTGGTCTGGTCTTACATTAACCAGCAGACGCCAGTTGACCAGTTTTAGATGCAAACACACAAGTTCTGGTTTCTGTCAGAAGAATATTGAAGACGCAAAAATGGGAAACTTTTTTGGCACTTTTTTTATGACTGATAATGTGCTACTCACTGAAAGTTAAGGACCACCCACTTCTTTCATACGACTATAGTTATTCTGGCATGGCATGATTTAACAAAAGTGACATTAAAAAAGGGCGTGGTATGACAGATTAACTGAAAGAATCTTGTGGCCCTTAACTTGAGTATTGATGTTCTTTACTGATTTATGTTGTGGATTTTTTAAAAACTTTTTGGCAATTTCTTTAATATTCTTCTTTCATAAACTTGAACAAGCCTGAAGCATGGAAATGATTCAAATTGTATTGAAGGTGAAGTTAAGCATGACCTTTGAAATTCTGTAAAACTGTCATCTTTATTTATACTTTAAGCATGTGATATTTTCCTCAAGACTTTTTACTCTGACACCAAGTCATTGGGGATAATTGATTCTGGAACTTGTATCAACCACAATCCTGGAATACTTTTTGAGATCCCATGCTTCAGGAGATGTGTATGGGTATATCATGACGATTGCTATAACCAATATAATATTGTCTTTCAGAAGGAACATTCTTGGCTTCAAAAGTGACAAAGCTTTGGGGAACTGTCGATTCTCCCCAACGGACCCCCTTAATAAGTTTTGTCCAATATTCATACTTGCTGACATTGTCAAATACACAAGTCAAGACTACGCCGTGTTAGCGTTATCGGTAATTATCAGTTCCATGGAAAAATTGCATCCTGCTATGACAGTTTGGTGTCTTTCTCTGTTTTGTGATTGTTTATGCTGAGAAATTTCCCATCTGTATTTGGACTATTAATTTTTTTTAAATATTTCTCAATTTTTGAAACTTAGATAAACTCCTTTGAGTGGCATTTTAGAAGTTGGGAAGTACAATATAGAACATACTTTATGGACAACAACTTCTTTTTATTCGTGAGTGCGACGTTGCTTGACAACGGTACAAGAATCTGTATCGAAACGTCGCACTCACGAATAAAAAGAAGTTGTTATCTATAAAGTTTGTTCTATATTAGATAAACTCAACAAAATTGCTGCTTATTTAATTTATTGGTCGAATAGTTTTGCATTGTGATAGAAAACTATGACTGAAAATATTTCAAAATACCTTGAAGGAGTTTCTGTGGTTTGGGGATTTGGGTGGACCAGTGAACTTTTACCCTATAAGTTCATGTTTTCGGTAGAATTCAGGAAATTTGACTGTTATAAGAAATTTGGTTTCAGTGACTTCATTCCATGTTCATGCATGTGGGAAATTTGTTGCAGAAGTATTTCATCAAATAATTCACTTTTCAGATTTAGGTATTGTGCTAATAGTTATGGAACTCGCATCCAAGCTGATTGTTATGTTGTTATTCTTTTCATTGCATGGATCATTAATATTGGTGTCTTGGAGCATGCTAAGCATGGAACAGCGTTGATTTGTGTTTTTGCTAACATACCTGTTAGTCATCATGGGGTGGGTGGGTAGCCTAGGTGTTAAAGTGTTCGCTCATCACACCTCGCTCAAGACCCGGGTTCGATTCCCCACATGGGCACAATGTGTGAAGCCTATTTCTGGTGTCCCCGTCGTGATATTGCTGGAATATTGCTAAAAGCGGCGTAAAACCAAACTCACTCACCCTTCAGTAAAGGAGTACCCGGTAGGATGATGTAATGTGGCTACTCGACTGGATACTCCATAAGGAGTTGAGAATGGAATTGTGTTCACACTTATTCACTGACTTAGGTATTAATGTGGCTTTTTGAACAGATGCAGTGTGGTAAGGAAATATATATAGAGAAATATATTTTGTTTTTTATCATTATTGTCATTAGTAGTAGTTACATATGTTATATTTACACTTTCTCAGTAAAGTACAGATTCTAGTACTTTTGTTGGGTTGAGTCCCATCCAGGATTCGAACCCACACCCCTAGAGTCAGGCACCTTACTGCCAACACACAAAGTCAGCCACCAAACCAACTCTGCCACTGCGGCTTCCAAGTGGAAGTCGGACAACTGTAGTCTTGACTACGGACTTTGTGTACCCTTCAGATGAGTGTAAATTAGCACAGCTCCCATGGCTGAAAGCTATTTGGAAGTTGCGGTGGCTAAATTGGTAAGGAGGCTTATTTACAGTAGAACACGGATATAGCGAACACGGATATAGCGTACAAACGGATATAGCGAACAAATTTAAAAGTCCCGTCAACAGTCCTTTATAATATCATTAAAATTATACGCGAATAACGAACTCGTGAGTAGCGAATTAACGGCTAAAGCAAAATTATTTACTACCCCCAAGCCCCAATTAACGACGTGATTAGCGAACTCACTCAGTGTCAGCTCAGTGTCAGCTCAGCCACTTAGCGGTATACATCAACCTTGTTGGCGGCGAATATACGTGTCTCTACATCTCTACAATCCAAGATGGCAGTCAAATGTGAATAATGAACACCGGATATAGCGAACTAAATTTCTTGGTCCCTTGGAGTTCGTTATCTCTGTGTTCTACTGTACTGACTGTGGCAGAAAACAATATTCATTCACACACATCAACAGCTAACATTCTAAACAAGCTCAACCAATTCAGAATCTGTCAAATCTTGCCTTGCGGAACTCACTGACAATAATTGTTTCTTTTTACATTATAAAACCATTATTAACATCTCAGTGCCTACAAGCATGTATTGATTAATATTCTGTTTTAATTTAACATGTCAGATTCCATCCAGGGAATTTTTCACATTGCAATTTTATGTTTATTTTTTGTTTTCATGTGTTCATTTTCTAGAGGATAATTTGTTGATGTATCTTTACAAAATAATGGACTCTCCAGTGTGATAATCAAGGGATACTGCTTGTCATACAACTACTCATTTTTGGCTACACAGACCATGACATTTTTATGGTTATTGATTTTTCAAAGTTTCAAATCTGTCCTTGTACAACTTGGGGATAATTTTCTTATGTTCATGGAAGACTGCTAGTTTTTGATACAATGTAATGTGTTCTTTTTCGCAGTTTCTGATGGAATGTGTTCTTTTTTAGAGTTTGCAAAGAAATGTGTTTTGTTTTAAACTTTGCAATGGAATGTGTTATTAATTTTACAAATTGTAAGATATGTTTTATGTTTGTGTTTTATGTGTTAATGTAAAGTGATTTTGTCAGTTTTCACCACATTTTTAACAAGACGCTGATGTCAATTCACTTAAGGGTCCAACTATATAAAAAAAATTGACTTTTGTTAGATGCTACTATTTTTTCTGCCGCTGTTTCAAGAAATATAATATTTTTTCTCTGAGCAATTTTGTTAGGAATTCCATATCAAGTGCAAGTAATTATGCAATTTTGTAAAGCGGTAATGATTTTTTTTTCTGAAACAAATATTTTGGGAAGAATTGCCCAAGGCCTCAACTGTGAGAATGAGATGCTGTGGGGTAGCCTAGTGGTTACAACACTCACTTGTCATGCCAGAGACCCGCGTTCGATTCCCCACATGGGTACAATGTGTGAAGCCCATTTCTGGTGTCCCCCGCCGTGATACTGCTAGAATATTGCTAAAAATGATGTAAAACTATACTCACTCACTGTGAGAACAAGAAAGAGTAGACCCAATGAGTTGCATTGTCTGTTTTCATTAGTTTACATAGTTTTACTGAAGATGCATCTGAGAATTAATTGAACATTCATGGCATTGCAGCATCATGTCAGGGTTTACATACAGAGAGTACTAGAACTGTCACAAGTCTGTGATAAAGCATATGGTAAAGGAAACTAGAGTTAAAATGGTCTTAGCATAGTGATTCTCGTGTAAATGTTATATGTCCGAAGAAAGACTTAAGATATTGATAATGCTGAAGCAATCGCTATGCTAAGACCATGAACTCTTAAGGAAAGTATCAGAATTTTAAAGATGCAATATTAAACTTGATCTTGATATGACTTGCATCTGGAAGGTGATGCTGTTCATCTGTCCTGAAGTGTGATGATTTCATTTGTTCACTGATATATCACTGCCCATGTTATAACAGCTTCTGTACGATGTTTCAGGGTGGCGTGATACAGATTGTTATAAACTGGGACTGTAACCTTGACCACAGTGTGGATGACTGTGTCCCAGAGTACAAATTTCGGAGGCTGGATAGTGATGATTATAAAGTTTCCAAAGGATATAATTTCAGGTAAGGTCAAATCGTTATCAATACCAATTTAGAGCTGTATGGCTTACCCATTAAACATCACTTAATTGTTTTAGGTGTTTAACCATGAAAGCATTACATGATTATGCTTGTGAGGTTAACCATGAAAATATTACTTGATTATGTTTATAAGTTTAAGGATACATCCATAATGTGCTTGCATTTCTGAGTTAACTCTACAAGCATTATTGTGCTCTAAAAGTTTTACTTGAATTAGGATGTGTCTTGTTACCATGCAAGCGTTACATATTTTGATTGTGAAGTTAACTTTACTTGAATATGGATGTGTTTCACCATTACTTATGAGGTTAACCATGAAAGCATTACTTGATTGTGCTTGTGAGGTTAACTTGGAAAGCATTACTTGATTGTGTGTTAACTTGGTTAAAATGAAAGCATTACATGATTATGTGTTTGTCAGGTAAACCATGAAAGCATTACATGATTGTGTTTGTGAGGTTAACCATGAAAGCATTACTTGATTGTGTTTGTGAGGTTAACCATGAAAGCATTACTTGATTGTGCTTGTGAGGTTCACCATGAAAGCATTACTTGATTGTGTATGTGAGGTTAACCATGAAAGCATTACTTGATTGTGTTTGTGAGTTTAACCATGAAAGCATTACTTGATTGTGCTTGTGAGGTTAACCATGAAAGCATTACTTGATTGTGCTTGTGAGGTTAACTTGGAAAGCATTACTTGATTGTGCTTGTGAGGTTAACCATGAAAGCATTACTTGATTGATGTGTGAAAGCATTACTTGATTGTGCTTGTGAGGTTAACCATGAAAGCATTACTTGATTGTGTTTGTGAGGTTAACCTGGAAAGTCTTACTCATCTGTGCTTATGAGGTTGACCATGGAAGTTTTACTTGATTATGCTTGTGAATGTTTTAAATTGTCATGTGAGGTTCACCAAGAAAGCATAATCGGGTTGTGCTGTAAAGACTCTAGGCATGAAAGCATTTTTTTGCTTAAGTCAATATGACTATTATATGCAAAGCCAGTATGTGCTTGTGAGGTTAACCATGGTAGCAATTTTCAACAGAGCAGTTTTTTTTATCTTATCAGGTACACAAACCTTCATATGATAAATGTTGATGTGTCTTTAATGTCCCAAACATCACATGTCTACATTTACTGGGATGTGTGGTACAGATTTTCTATTCAATCATGTCCCAAACTGATCACCACGTGAAACTAGGACAAGCCTCTCCACTACAAGGATTTATCTAGACCTGCTTAGATTCCAATATTCTTCCAAAGCCTGCAGCAAATTAAGTACAAATTCCCATATGGGAATTGAAAAAGATCTCAATCAATGTTGATGTAGTTATACAAATGTGATGGCTTCCTAAGGGTGAATTGAGGGGCGTTGGTGTAGCCTATTGGTTAAAATGTTCGCTCATTACGCTAAAGGCCTGGTTTCGATTCCCCACATGGGTACAGTGTGCACAATTCATTTCTGGTGTCCCTTGCTATGATATTGCTGGAATATTGCTAAAAGCAGCTAGGACCAAGCTCACTCACTCACTCACTCACTCACTCACTCACTCACTCACTCACTCACTCACTCACTCACTCACTCACTCAACAGCATGGAAATTGAACTGCGCAATTGGGAACCGATGACATGTCTCAGCCAAGCCAGCGAGCCTGACCACCCAATCCCGTTAGTCGCCTTTTACGAGAAACATTGGTTACTGAAGGTTCATTCTAACCCGGATCTTCACGGGTTGCCTATACCCATGAAATGTCATCTTGTAATGATGACTCTTGTAAATATAATGGTGAATAATTAGTTGAAATTGAAATATCCTGATAGCTCTGATGGAAATTACATTTTGTAGTTCCATTTAAAATTGAAATTATTGCCCTAAAAATGTCATAAGGTTGGTGTTAAGTCATGACTTAGTTAAAGCAAAGAACCTGATTTCTGTCATTGAGGGTATTTCATACTGTTAAATTTGTTTTAATTAATGCCATCCAGCAGTGTTTCTGATCAATGATTTAGATAATTGAGGTTGATTGAATTTAACCCTTATTGAACATCCCTGTCGGCGGTTACAATTAAAATATGAACTTTTGATGAATAACATTTGTTTAACAAAATAACAATTTGTCCTAAATGGGCTGTGTTGGGTGTCTTACAAGGTCGAAGAGTCGTAATTCCCACGTTTATATTTCCAGTTCCCAAACTACAGTAAGAAAATCCACTTACATCTACATTAAACCTTCAGTAATTACTGAGCAGTCAAACAACAATCACCACTAAAGTGCACAGGGTACAAGTGAGGCGATGAACATTAGATTGTCTCACGCTCTCGAATTAATGCATCTTTCTTTCCTTGAGTAGCCCTAGCAAGGAAAGAGCAAAGGTTAATGAAAACTGTCTCTAGACAAATCGTGACTTGCACCAATAATGATGTAGACACTGCACAGATGTAAACTGGACTTAAAAATTGTTTTACAAAGGAACCCTGTTTATCTGGACAGCCAGGTTGTGCTTGTGCAAACCGCTCTTAGTGCTATGGTAATGGTAACGCTTATACTTTAACATAGACTGAGGGGCGGTGGGGTAGCCAAGTGTTTAAAGCATTCACTTGTCACGGGTTCAATTCCCCACCTGGGTACAATGTGTGATATTGCTAGAATATTGCTAAAAGTGGCGTGAAGCTATACTCACTCAACGACATAGACCTACAACAGTAATAGCAGGTTTGTATACCAGAATCCTGTGAGATGAAAGTACCTGTTACAGGTAGGTAAAGCATTTGGGTGACCGTGGGCCTGAAAAGGCTTACATGCGCCAATAGCTGTCGCAGAATTTGATTAGAGTTTCCTCCCCTGCCTATACCCGTGAGTGAGTGAGTTTAGTTTTACACCGCACTCAGCAATATTCCAGCTATATGGCAGCGGTCTGTAAATAATGGAATCTGGACCAGACAATCCAGTGATCAACAGCATGGAAATTGAACTGCGCAATTGGGAACCGATGACATGTCTCAGCCAAGCCAGCGAGCCTGACCACCCAATCCCGTTAGTCGCCTTTTACGAGAAACATTGGTTACTGAAGGTTCATTCTAACCCGGATCTTCACGGGTTGCCTATACCCATGAAATGTCATCTTGTAATGATGACTCTTGTAAATATAATGGTGAATAATTAGTTGAAATTGAAATATCCTGATAGCTCTGATGGAAATTACATTTTGTAGTTCCATTTAAAATTGAAATTATTGCCCTAAAAATGTCATAAGGTTGGTGTTAAGTCATGACTTAGTTAAAGCAAAGAACCTGATTTCTGTCATTGAGGGTATTTCATACTGTTAAATTTGTTTTAATTAATGCCATCCAGCAGTGTTTCTGATCAATGATTTAGATAATTGAGGTTGATTGAATTTAACCCTTATTGAACGTCCTTGTTGTACCCATTAATGCCGAGCGCCAGGCAGGGACCAACAAGTACCATATTTTATCGTCTTTTGGTATGACGCAGTCGGGGATCGAACCCGCGACCTTCCGCACTCCTGGCGGACGCTCTAACCACTACACCACGGAGGCGGTCCAATTAGGAAAAGTCCGCGACTAAGTATTCTGGTCACAGGAGGCAGCTGCATGGACTGGATGGTGATGCGTAATGAATTGTTTGATGTCGAGGGACATGGATAGTTGCTCTCAATATTAATCACTGGATCACTGGATTGTCAGGTCCAGACTCGATTATTTCCAGGCAGCAAACATCTAAAACATATGTTATATTTAGGATTACACTTTCTCAGTAAAGTACAGATTCTAGTACTTTTGTTGGGTTGAGTCCCATCCAGGATAATAGAAACCACACCTAAGAGTCAGGCACCTAATTGTCAGCACACAAAGTCAGCCATCTAACCCACTCAGCCACAAAGCTTCCACAAATAAATGGAAGTTGGACAACCAGGGCTCCAGATAACTTTTGGGGGTGCGAGTGTACTTACACATCATATTGCAAGTGGAGGTGTACTGAGAATTTTGAAGGAGTACTGACATGTTTTTGTGTGAGCGAGTTGATGTGAGTTGTCTGGACGATTCATCGATCACTATTTCCAACCATGTATTTGTATTTGAAGACGCATGAGAAATAACTTCAGAGCGACTGTGTGATGCGCGAAATGTCAGGTCCGACTGGATATAAATAGGAACAGTGTAGTTTTTAGCCAATCAAAAAATAGTGACGCATATCGTTGCATGGCAACGCAAGGGATTCCTACTGTCGGGGTTTCCTTATGTGTCAAATCTTGTTTCGCAAAAGAAACTTACCAAGTATTTATCCGAAATAGATTTCCATTTGCACGATACGCATGGAAATTAAATGTTAGACGTACGAAGGTATTTATGTGCGTACACGATATGCTTGAAATCTTATATTGTGTCGTACTTAATTGATCTGTAGCCCTGGACAACTGGTAGTCTGGACTGCGGACTTTGTGTACCCATCTGATAAGTGTAAATTGGCACGGCTCCCACGGCCGAAAGCTATGATTACACAATGCCATGTGGAAAGTGGTCAGATGTAACATATGTTATATTTTGGGATTACACTTTCTCTGTAAAGTACGGATTCTAATAATTTTGGAGGGTTCAGTCCCATCCTGGATAAGGGGCGTTGGGGTAGCCTAGATGTTAAAGCGTTCGATTCCCCAAATAGGTACAATGTGTGAAGCCAATTTCTGGTGTCCCCTGCCGTGATATTGCTGGAATATTGTAAAAGTGGCATGAAACCATACCCACTCACTCACCCCCCATCCAGGATATATACCCACACCCTCCGTTTTCGGTACATTTCTAAATGGCATTGTGTATTCATAGCAAACATCTATCTGGAATATTGCCGAGTGTAGCTTTAAACAACTATGAAACTAAACACATGCAGTCAGTTATACTTACAAGGACGATTCTCCCAAATTTAAAGCTTATCCTGGGCATGCATGTCTACAAGAGCAA